TCCATTTCACAAATAGACTGATTGCCGAAGTTTGTTTTATCTCTACATTTATGAATGCAATTGGGAAACAGAACGCACGACCGTGCGCTCGTGTACGTTTTTATTTTTTTTTTATGTTTGAATAAACGCTGTCTGTCGCATCTTATTCCAATATTTGACCGAGACCTTTTGATGAGACCACTGTTAGACTAATAAATCCATCGTTTTCACACCCAACCACATATTCTGAGATATATGTATAAATACAGCGGGTCATTTGTTAAATTGCCTTTGTTCACATGTCGCGCATACCTTATTATAAATAGATCTCTTGACACATCTTGCTTGAGTCTCATTTTACAAATCATTCGATGTTTACAAATCCATTCGTACACTGTAGCCACACAATAAACATTGGACGTCGCTCCCTCTCTCTGTGTGTCATTAGGCTCATTTTAGAAATACGTCAGTTTTTCGATTCAATAAAATCTCATTTGGAAGATTTAATCAGAACAGAATTCTCTTAATGGATTTCGCATATTGAATTGTTCGAGTCACTCATGTTTCGTTGGAATCGATGAAAATGCCATTGACCAAACCATAAATTTTGTATCAAACAGAGGGAAAAAAACAACGTGTTGTTTGTGAATCATATCGACTGATATGCCTAGAGTGTGGAGGTGAGAAGAAGTCTCAGTGCGTTGTGATGCTGAATTCGCGTCACTGTTTTCGCTCATCGATGAGATCATCGATTCCGGTTTGCATCATCGATTCAGCGATTCGATTGGCACGTGATTCAATCGCCTTTCCAATTAAACGCTTTCGATAAAATATTCAATAAGTTCATTACAAAGCAAAAGGCCGCTTCAATCAATCGATGTGTTTAAATCGATTCCCATAGACATTTTTTTCATTCTAATGGTATCAAATTCAATCGTATTTATCGAAACGATGCTGGTGCTGAACTTTGACTCACCGACTAATGATCAATTTCAATATCAATGATTCAAACTCCCTATTATTTGTGTGACGCATTTGCTCCGATTGAAGGTGGTCTTTGGAATTGAATTGATTTAATTTGTATCGAATCGAACCGAGCCCGGTTCCCTGTTCAACTTCGTATAATATGGAAATTGCATTCATAAGTGTGAACGAGATTGTGTACTTTACGGTATATACATATCGAATTGACTAGGAAATAAGTTTCTCAAAATAGAACCGATCCGATTGAATTTGCCTCTAGGGGGCAAAAAGAACGCGCGTTTCAATGCACACGAAATAATGTTTCCGAAATAAAAGCAAAAAAAAACGATTCATATGCATAATCAGGTCAGTAAATGGCAAGAAGAGACAACGCAGAGAGTGTTATAAAAAATTCAGTTGGAATCATGTTATCGAAAATGGAACGTCGATTTACAAAATGCAAAGGTTACACTCGAACCGACATCTCATACAATCAGATAAAACCAGGCGGGTGAAATAGACTTATTGAATGTGTGCATGATACTATGGCTAAGAATAAACATATATAATCACAATGTATCGACGCCACATGATAAATATGAATTATTTGCATCGTAATTATTATTTTCAACTACAATATGTGCACAAATACAAAAATAGTCGGAATAAATAACAAAAAATGACAGATTTTTTTCTACGCTGAATTGTGTGTTTAGATTTGTTGTTAATGAGAAAATGAATGGCGAGAGAAAAAAAACCGTATCACGGTCGTTGAGAGAGTGAGGTAAAGGGAACAATGAATAACATATTGTGCAAATTAAATATTTTGCCGTCCGATTCATTTACGCATGATTCGAATGATATTCATAATTTGTTTTATTGCCGAATCATGGGTGTCATCGTCATCAACATGCGAATGCTAATTTAAACGGTGGCTTTTTACGCTTTTCAAGCGAAAAGATTTTGATTAACATGAGCTCGTGCTAATCATTGAATGTCATGCAATCGTGTACCAACGAAATCAAAACATCGACCAAAAAATATACGTATTTGATTGATTACGTATACTAAATGAACGCCCGCAATTTTCGGTCGGTAGTTTCAAAATAATCATTCTTAATATCTCAAACAATCTGCGATTGTTTGCGAGGTTTTTATTTTCCTCTCATTTGAGTGTTGAGGACGATTGGAAGAGAAACTATGCCGATGTATTTATTTGGCGCATGAATATGTTTAGTTGGTTAAATGAGATCTATCATTTGATTTCGACACACTTCAGTGAAGTGCCGACCTTGCTGTAAGCTCCAGCATCACAAAACACAACTGGGCCCAAACCAACCATATGATTTACTAATGAATTTTCTATAAGTTTTGACTTAGTTTTTGCTTTGACGCCGTGTTTTTTCTCTCTTGCTTTTGGTCAAAATGTTTATCCTCATTCATCATCATCACCACGGAGTGATAATAAAATAAAAATTAGAGGTCCATGTGAGCTCGTAAGCGTAAAAGGTCATTTTGTTAACAAAGCATATTCTTCGAATCAATATTTGCTATCACACAAATGGGTATGGCATCTCACAACGAAAAAAAAGCAGCACGAAGCAAACGCGTCTGTCGATATATGTCTGCAAGATAATAACGAATGCAAATAAGCGTGTTCCATTTATATTTCGCTTGTGCCATCACCACCGTAAAGAATAAATACAAATTAGCATTGATATTATGAAATTCCATAATCGTTTTATATTCGTACATAATGTTGACTGCATCCAACGAACGGCGACAACGGAGAATATAGTGAGCGAGAGCGTGCGCTCGTTACAGAAAAAAAAACGTTTCATTTTGTTCGCTAAATTGCGCGCGCGTGTGACATTGTATCCAGCCACGATATCTCATGGCTTTGAAAATTGCCCCGGAATAAACAACACTTTGCTCGTGCATAATAGTTCTAGTTCACTTTTCTCTCTCCTCCGCTCTTCCGCAAAATGTGCTACAACAATGAAAATTATATCAATTAAATGCTGACTTCATATCTCTAGTGTGTGCGTCTGCTTCGTTTTGACTCGTTGTTAAGCGTTCCAAATTGTATGAAGTTCGAGGCAGCTGTGGCTGGTAATTTCGTATGCAATTCGTGTTCCATTCGCGATGTTACCGGAGCAATGGCTTTATAATTACTTGAATATACACCATGCCATTAACCGATTCATTGATGAAAGGAAATCAATCGAATAAAGCGCACACACACACGATCGGAACCAGCACCAAAACAAAACTGATCAAAGTACGTGACGTACACGCTAAATTCGTAAGCCGGAAAATGATTTCAATGAACGCGCGATGTTTTCAAAACCGTGAGCGCAAAAAAAGCATTTTATCGAATAAGATTATGTGCTCTGGTTTTACAGAAAGAAAAAAAAACAAACAATTTTCCGGTCGACAAATCGCATTTTCGCCCGACAAACGACCAACTGCAAACTCAGGAGCGAAAGTGAGAACGAGTGAATACGTGTCCGCATGAGAGAGAGAGAGAGCAAAAAAAGAATTGAATGATTGAATTAGAAAAGGAATAAAATTAGATTAGACTACGCAATGCGGTCGTATTAATAACACACAAATCACTCGATTGACGAAACGCATGAACATGTGAACGAATCGATTTTTTCGACGTTTGACTGATTAAATTTTTGCGTTTTTTTTCTTTCTTCAAACGAATGTGAGATGTTTACAAAGCGTATGTTTTGTGTGTAGCATTCTGGCATCGAATAAACTAGAACGAAGATACAATTTCGATTTTATTAACACATAAAGAATGTGTTGTTGAGAGATGCCTTTGGTTGAAATGCAGGCAACGCGCTGATTGAAACGTGTTTGACCTTTGTGCGTCTTACAAATTTAATTCTAATTACGAATGTCCAGTTCCAAGCATGAGAGTGAGAGTTTATCGTTGACTCACAACGAAATGGTGCGTTTGAAGTTGCCTCTGAACACCGATAACATTCGATGCCTGCTATTAGTAGGCGCAGTCTAATCTCTGCGTTTAATGTGAATGGGAGCAATTAAGTACGCACACTGTATGTGTGTGCTGTTTGCCTGGCGACACATAGCGCGCACATTGCACATTCAGCCGAGAAATTAATTATGTAGAAGAGACAAAAGGGAAAAAATAACAACAGAAACACACAGTATGAAGACAAGCAAACAATAATAACAACCAATGCAGTAAATGTCAGTGGTGTCGCATGGAATGGAATGCCATTGATAGATTGCTATGTGTATTTCTAACATTTTCTATTCGTGTGTATCTCCTTCTTTCCCTCTCTCTCACTCTTTCTCTCCCTGTTTCTCTGTGTGTGTCTTTCTCACATTTCAAACTTACAATTCAAATCAGAGCATTGAAGTTGCTGACTATGTGGCGCTGCTGGTGAACAGATCTGTTGAAAAGCAGCTGTTGGTTCCGTGCATATTCGCTGTGACGCGCGCTTCTTCATTTAACGATTCTCAC